AGAGAATGTGGTGAGAGAGAGAGAAATGTGGTGAGAAGGAGAGAATGTGGTGAGAGAGAGAGAATGTGGTTCAAGATCTGTTAAACAATTGTTTGAGTCCCCACTCTTCAACTCCTGCCCTTTTCTTCTCTCTTTTACTCCCCGCCTTTTCCTGCTGCCAGCGCAAGTCCTGCTGGACTGTCAGAGGGCGTGGAGCACAACGTTTGACGGCTGGGTGGCTGGTGGGGACTGCAGCAAGGCAAATGGCCTCAAGTGCGATTCTCAGGGGATGATTACAGCGATGTGAGTAACCCTCTGTCACTCTGTCACAAAATTTGAGTGGACCTTTGTGGTAAGATAATAGCAGCCATGTGTGTGGGCTCTGGAGGATCCCAGATGATGAAATCAGTGTGAAAATAACAGGGACCACGGTTCCCCGTGCCTCTTCCCCCACTTAGCCTCCTCTCCGGAAAACAGCAGCAACTCACTAGTTGCCTACCACTCTCTCTCTAGTGGAAAGAAACAGACGGTGGTATGCTATCGCTGGAGAAGAAGGCTCGAGGCCGGCCGTTGATCCATCGCTCCGTTCAGTCATTTCCCTCTTACCACTTGTCATGGCTATAATACTCCAAACGTCCCCAACCCAGCTCGCCTCTCCCCTGGTCCAATTACCCCACCCTCCCCACCACCCCACCCTCCCCAACCCATCCTCCCCACCCCCCCTCCCCAACCCCCACCCCTCTTCTCCTTCCCTCACCCAGCCCACCTATCAATCAATCAATGCCTTTCTGTCCCTCGCCCTCTTCTATCTCCCCTCTTCCCTCATCCCTCTCTCTCTTCCCTTGTTACTCTCGCTCCCCGCGTTGCTGTTTCCACCTGTTCAGCAACCTGTTATCACGATATCTGTGCATTCCAAAGACAGCTATTTTTTCCATGTCCAGCTATCCCTTTTTAAACACCTTCTGATTCTTCCGAGGTGGAAGAACGTGCATGCATGCATGCATGAATGCAGCACACTCATCTCGTGCCACGTACATGCAGCAGAGCAGACGCACGTCACATGCATGCAGCAGATGCATGCAGCAGATGCCTGTCACTTACACAGATGCAGCAGACGCACATCACATGCACAGATGCAGCACACGCACGTCACATGCACGCATGCAGCATGACCTCCCTCCTTCTCTAATGCAACTGGCCTCTCCGTCCTCCATGTCAATTTCCGCTCATCAGGACTATTACTGACCAGAACTTAAACGGCTCAATCCCCAACTCCATCAGCAACCTCCAAAGCCTTGCCACCTTGTCAGTGCTGCTCGTCCCTGGGTGGACATGTGAGGAACTCACAAGGACATGTGAGGAACTCACAAGGACATGTGAGGAACTCACAAGGACATGTGAGGAACTCACAAGGACATGTGAGGAACTCACAAGGACATGTGAGGAACTCACAAGGACATGTGAGGAACTCACAAGGACATGTGAGGAACTCACAAGGACATGTGAGGAACTCACAAGGACATGTTAGGAACTCACAAGGACATGTTAGGAACTCACAAGGACATGTGAGGAACTCACAAGGACCTGTGAGGAACTCACTCACACCTTCTCATTGGTCTTCCTCCTTGAGTGTAAGTGCATCAAAACAGGCCTTGTCACCTCGTGAGTGCATCAAAACAGGCCTTGTCACCTCGTGAGTGCTTCAAAACAGGCCTTGTCACCTCGTGAGTGCATCAAAACAGGCCTTGTCGCCTCGTGAGTGCTTCAAAACAGGCCTTGTCACCTCGTGAGTGCATCAAAACAGGCCTTGTCACCTCGTGAGTGCATCAGAACAGGCCTTGTCACCTCGTGAGTGCATCAAAACAGGCCTTGTCACCTCGTGAGTGCTTCAAAACAGGCCTTGTCACCTCATGAGTGCATCAAAACAGGCCTTGTCACCTCGTGAGTGCATCAAAACAGGCCTTGTCACCTCGTGAGTGCATCAAAACAGGCCTTGTCACCTCGTGAGTGCTTCAAAGCTTTCAAACTTGCCATCTGTGTTGTTTCAACAGAGGTTTCACTTTGATTCTCATAGGTCTCTCCTTTTTCAAATGCAGGTGTTTTTGGAAGACTAACCTGACTGGCCCAATACCAACAACCATTGGCAACCTTCCAAAGCTCACCGACTTGTGAGTTTCTCAACAAGACGGGCTCGACATTTCTTACCTCGTAATTTAGGCTCAGATGCCCTTATCTCCTAACTTCAACTCACAAAATTATCAAATGTAGAACGTTTTTTCCGAGGTTATGAGAGAAAGTTGGTCTCATTCTTACTTTTCAAATGTATGAGGCCAGTACTCTGAGGGAAAAAGGATCAAATGTAGCACCAGTTCCGTTCTGTCTCTGTGTACAAGGCCGAGCAAACCCTAGCGGCCGACCTGACCTGAGTTGACATTTGAGAGTCGACTTAAAAGTCAACATTCTCTGTGTACGAGACCGAGCAAACCCTAGCCGACCTGAGCCGAGCCGAGTTGAGCCGTCATGCGGCTTCATTTGGTGTACCGTCCCTCACACGCCCAAATGTACCGCGCGGCTTGAGTTGGCGTAGGCTCGTCCCTTACACAAGGCTAGCCTAGCGGAACGGAGCCGAGCAAGTGGCAAATGAATCCTCAAGTCACTTCCCACCATGTATGTGTGCCCTGCCCCCTCAAGTGTCGTGTCGGTTCATTTGCTCTGTATCCATGGCCTCCGTCCGTGTTCATTTGTTCATCAGGCAACTGGTTTACAACAGCTTAACTGACGCCATCCCTGCCTCCATCAGCAATCTCAAGAGCCTCGAAAACTTGTTAGTGCCACTCTTCCTTCTATGTTTATCTGTTAGCAAGGCGCCTCAAAGGTCGCTCCTCCTCGTGTATCTACATGTTAACGGTGCTGTTCCTTGTTTGGTTGACTTGACATATGAGTGTGATGTGAGCCCAGGCAGGCCCCGCATGCTTGTGAGTGTGAGCTCCAGCCAAGCTGCCAGGCCCCGCATGCTTCTTTCTTCACTGGATGTGGCATTTGCAATGGTCTCGTCTCTCTCTGATGAACTCTTGACTCCAATTTAGTATACTCGATGCAAGTAGTACTGCGGACTTTGCTCACACATGCATGCATGCCTCGTCTGGTCTGGTTGACATGACATGTATATGATGTGATGTGATGTGATGTGATGTGATGTGATGTGATGTGATGTGATGTGATGTGATGTGATGTGATGTGATGTGATGTGATGTGATGTGATGTGATGTGATGTGATGTGATGTGATGTGAGCCCCATCCAGCCAGGGCCCGCATGCTTTTGAGAAATTTGAAGCACTTGTGAGAATTCTCAGAAGTGATTCCCTTGCACGGCACGGCTCGACCATGCAATGCAACTCTACCAGCATTCTGCTATTTGAAGCAGGCCTACTAGAGCAAGGAGTATACTATCCCTTCGGCCCCTTCCAGACTAGGAAGAGCAAGGAGTATACTATCCCTTCGGTCCCTCCGTGCTCCTTTTCTCACCCCCGTTGCTGTTGATACTGTGTGGTCGGTGGGTGGGGGCGAGGTGTCATTCATACTCAAACCTGTGTTGTGTTCTTCACTCCCCTTCTGCACCTTTACTCCCCTTCTGCACCTTTACTCCCCTTCTGCACCTTATTTCTGAGATGCAGGTGGCTGCTTGGGAACAATCTGACGGGCCTTATACCAGCAATGCTAACCAACCTCTCACTTCTGACTAGCTTGTGAGTTATCTGATCAGAAGAGGATAAAGTCATACCAAGTTTCTTGGGCTCACGAGTTGGCCTCTCACTCCATTTTAGGGTATCTTCCTCAACTGCCTTGTCACATCATGTCTTTTTTTTTTTTTTCCCTTCTATTGAAGTACTTATTGTCGCAATGTGATATGATGTGATTGGCATTGGAATTCGACGAGATGCGATGCCACGTGATCTGATGGGATGCGATGTGATGTGATGCAATGTGACGCGGTCTGATGCGAGGTGATGGGATGGGATGGGATGGGATGGAATGGGATGGGATGCGATGTGATGCGATGCGCCGCGCTGCGGTGCGGTGCGGTGCGGTGCGGTGCGAGAGTATGAGTATGATAGGTATGAGTATGAGCATGAGATGAGATGAGATGTGATGCGGTGTTATTTGATGTGGTGTGACGTGATATGATGTGATGCGGTGCGATGCGATGCAAGCGGTGCATTGAGACGTGATGGGACGTTATTTTACACGACACTTCCTCTGCATTCTCCCTACTCTTCTCAACACCACCAGCTGTGTGCCCTTGTTCCTCCTAGGCTCTCACCGAGCCTAGTATCACGTGAAACAAGTAGAGTTCTGAGACGTTACAAAACTCTAGGATCACGCACGACGTGCAGAGCAACCATGAGCGACCATGAGCGACCATGAGCGACCATGAGCGACCATGAGCGAGAGCGACCATGAGCAACCATGAGCGACCATAAGCGACCATGAGCGACCATGAGCGACCTTGGAAAACAACACAGTGCATTGTCCTTTTTTTTCCTGCTCTCTGTTCATACTGCTGCTTCATGTATGCCTTACGCATGCCCGCCCTGCATGGCACTCGTCTCTCGGTCCCACCCACCAGGAACCTCGGCTACAACGACTTGACAGGCACCATTCCCGGCTTTCTTGGCAACCTCCCAAAACTTGCTCACATGTGAGTGACGCTGCTGTGGGTTGACATGTGATCCACATTTGCAACACCCTTGTAACAGGTCATGTTGTGAGTCGACTCAAAACAGTAGGTCATGTTTTGAGTCGACTCAAAGCATTTGCAACACCCTTGTAGTAGCAGGTCATGTTTTGAGCCGACTCAACACATTTGCAACACCCTTACCGCTCTTCTCTGAGCGCTCGGCACAAGCCGCGCTCTGATTAGGAACTGTCATTATGCCTCTTCACCCACTTTCACTGTGGCATATCATATCACAAACCTTTTTGTGTGGACTCCGCTCATACATTCCTCTCTCGCATGAAAAGCAGATATCTGCATGGGAACAACCTCATTGGCACAATACCGGCTTCACTTGGCAACCTTTCAGATCTCGGAGACCTGTGAGTGTGGGCCTCCTTCACTTGTTGTGGTCTGGTCTGGACAGTCAAATGTCTCGTACCTTTCTTTCTCCTTAAGCTCACAGCAACGTCAGTATCCTTCTCTTCACGAGCTCCCCCACCACACACCCACACACACACACACACACACACACACACACACACACACACACGCGCGCGCGCGTGCACACATAAACGCATGCCCGAATGCACGCGCACGCGCGCGCGCGCACGCACACACACAAGCGCATGCACACGTACGCGCACAAGCACACTTACACGCGTGTGGCTGCAGTTCCTTTTGCCAAGGAAGAGGGGATGGATGACTGATTTGAAGCCCCACTTCACTTCACATATGCGTCCAATCTCTTTCAAAGTCTTCTGAAGCAGTATTCATCGGTCAAAGGCTTTTTATCCGAGTCATCGCTAGCTTCCTTCTCTCCACCTCTCCGATCATGCCTGCCACGAATGCAGCCTCGCCTCGCCGCACTGGCAAGGATATGCAGGCTCAGCCTGTCGCCCTGCGATCAATGCAGCCTTGCTGCTGTGCTGTGGCATGATGCAGGCATAGAGCAGACAAACAGATTTATGGCATTATTTATGGCATCATTATTATGGGCACCATGTTGTGTCACAGTAGCAGTTTTGAAGGACTCAGTCGACTCGACCTTAAGTACATCTTCTCTCCAAATAATTTTTATTTACTGTACTGCATATACAGATGAATCTGCAATGTCAATCTAGCCAGTGGCGGGTGTGTGAGTAAGTGAATGATTGTCAGCATTTTCATATGTCTTACAAACACCGCTTAATTTTGGAGTATGGGTTTTGTGTCTCTGTTATGTCTGTGCCCTCCACCTTCATTTCTTTCGCTGCAGAACTCTGCATGACAACAAGCTGACCGGCACGATTCCTGAATCGCTCTTCAATCTCACAAAACTTAACTCGTTGTGAGTGCAATGAAGTGCAATGAAGTGCAATGAAGTGCTGTCCCTCTTTGCGTAGCTTAGCATGTTGTTGGGACAGCTTAGCATGTTGTTGGGACAGCTTAGCATGTTGTTGGGACAGCTGAGCATGTTGTTGGGACAGCTGAGTTGAGCATGTTGCGGGCGCAAAAGGCATTCACCAAGTATGGTACGGTGCCCGTACTACGGGCTTCACTTCACCTCAGTGTGGTCATCTCTGCATGTGATTAGTCGATTTATAAGTTGTCTTAAAAATCGACTCATCACACGTGGTGTGTGCTTCATCTTAGTGTGGTCATCTCTGCACGCCTTGTGGTTTCCATTTTTACCATTAACCGTCTGCTGTTTGAAGGGGGACGCATGCTTGACCTCGAGACACTGGGTGTGGAAGAAAGGGGTACAAGTTGTTGTTGTTGTTGTTGTTGTTGTTGTTGTTGTTGTTGTTGTTGTCGTTGTCGTCGTCGTCGTCGTCGTCGTCGTCGTCGTCGTCGTCGTCGTCGTCGTCGTCGTCGTCGTCGTCGCTGCTGCCGCCGCCGCCGCCGCCGCCGCCGCCGCCGCCGCCGCCGCCGCCGCCGCCGCCGCCGCCGCCGCCGCCGCCGCCGCCGCCGCTGCTGCTGTTGTTGTTGTTGTTGTTGTTGTTGTTGTTGTTGTTGTTGTTGTTTTTGTTTATTTTTTGTTCGGTCGGTTCTGAGCAAGGCGGGCATTGATGTTGATGAGCAGCAAGCTGTTCATGCTTGCTTCGAGCATGTCTGTGGCGCACTGTACAGTGCTCTGTGCCAAACCTTTTTCTTCCTTGCACATATACATGCAGCAGCCAATCTGTCGTATCATTCTTCACCACAGTATCATACTAACGCTTGATCTTGCTTGCACTCTCTCACCCTTAGTTACACCCCCTTTAACAAAATGCAGCCATCTTCTAGCAAACAACCTGACTGGCTCAATCTCCTCAAGCATTGGCAACCTTAAAGCATTGACGGCCCTGTGAGCACGTTTGTACGAGGGGACGGGCGCTAGGTGACTCTTCCTCTGCATATACTTCACCTCACCCATTGGCCTTACCACCCATATGTGCATGCAGCATCCAAATAAAGCAAAGTACAGAGTAGTAGCAGCATGTGAACCTCTTACATGAGATTCACAAGAATGTTTTGTTCTTTAAGCTAGTGGCTTCTTCTCCTGTTTGTTTCAACAGCGGTTCGCGAGCGCCACCTCGGAACAAACCGGGTGTGACAGCTACACTGTAGCTAGTCTAGCCTTAGTCAGGGCTGAGCTGAGCTGGTGCCGTCTTGTCATGAGCCAAGGTCTTTTGGATCCTCACCAGATTGTCTAATCCAATGCAATATCCAGCAAGCAACCTTGACTCATCTCACCACGTGCACTTCTTCGATCATTCTCCCATCATCTCTCCCTCGTGTATTAGAAACCTTGGTCACAACCAGCTTCACATGCACAATTCTTCCATCCCCCTGCATACTTACTAAAGAAAGAATCGTCTTCCATCACCATCCCTCCCTCCAATGTCAGGAGCCTTGGATACAACAGCTTCACAGGGCCTATTCCTGACTCTATTGGGAAGCTCACAAATCTAAATGTTTTGTGAGTGTTCAGCGCATGCCTTCCTGGTTGGCTGGTTTGACTTGTGAGGCAGGAGTCAGGACCAATCATGTCCCTATTGAAGTGATTAAGAACGCTTACAAGGTTGGATGCCTAGCGAGTATACTCAAGATGCAAATCACTGTTCTGATCGGAAATAACTAGCAAACGTTTCTTACAGATTCGAACCCCCTCTGCCAAGTCGCTCGAACGGTACTACTATGTGATGAGAAAACAAATTCTAGGGACTCTTTAATGCCTTGCTGTAACCTCTTCACTCGCTTTTGCAGGTTTGTATTGAGTGCGAGCAAGAACAAACGAGTACTTGTTTTTGCAACTTATACCTTGCTCGCTCATGCCTCTCTCGCTCATGCCTACCCAGTTATTTTTCAAAACAGCTCCTCTCTTTCCCAACCTCATCTCTTCTAAAATTTTCGAGAATACATTCAGACCTGAGACCAAGTTCCGCCATGAGCTATATCCTATTATGTTTATGTGTCTTCTTTATGAACGGATGCTGAAACGGTTGCTGAACCCCTGTATTTCTGATTGGTACTCAACTATTTACATCCCCGTTGTGCTAATTACAGATTGCTATTGGGAAATAATATAACAGGCTCGATTCCTGCAACAATAGGCAACCTTGTTTATCTGAATGACTTGTAAGTTCTTTGGTTAGGCTGACTGTAAAGCCTTTCCCTTGTGAACCCCTTCAAGATATCTATCTGTTATTGCTTCGTTTCATTGTTCAGTGATTTCTATCGTATAGGTTGCATAGAGAACATTCATTGCATGTCCTTTTCTTATTTAAGTAGTAAATGATGACATGACACCATTTTTGCACCTATAATCGCTTGATTCTTGTTCAGGAGCTTCTTGTTGCCGTTCCTGCTTCAGGTACCTTGGTTATAACAGCCTGACTGGCAGCATCCCAGAGTCTATTGGCCACCTCTTGCAACTCACAACCTTGTAAGCAAGTATTGAGGCAGCCTCATGCAGCTCGCTCGCATCCTTGTCAGCAAGTATAGATGCTCTCAGCAGCACAAAGCACAGGACATGAGCATAAATGCCTGACTGGTATGGCAGCATCCCAAAGTCCATTGGCAACCTCGTGCAGCTTGCAACCTTCGTGCCTTTCGCTGTTTGCCTATGAGTGCCAGCCGTCTGAACCATAGCAAGACCAGCAACGGCAGTGAGGCTATGGCGTGCGCTATCAGGCTATCGCCTATTTGACCCATGCGACCTGAACCAGTCATGCCTATTTATTTGCACCATGCTTTGGCTATATGTATTCATTCACAACAAGTCGGCTCTGTGTATGCTCAATCAACATTGCTCCCCATGCAGGGAAGTTTTAGGGACCAATCTGACCGGACACCTCCCTCCGACTTTGGGAAAGCTCTCCAAACTCGAGGAAATGTAAGATTGCCCTGGCTACAGGAAAAGAAGATATATCAATAAATAAATATATATATATATATGTATATATATATATATATATATATATATATATATATGTATATATATATATATATATATATATATATATGTATATATATATATATATATATATACATATATATATATATATATATCGAGAATTTCAAGCGAAGTAGTTTTTTACCTGCCAATCTCAACGAATTGTAAGGTACTCAGTTCTGCCTTTCCTCAAGTGCCGCAAACCAAGCATGTGAAGAGCATCTGCTGGCGCTTCTAAGAACGCACTGCACATGGCATTTCGTTGCTGTTTGTGTTTAATACCCACCACCCTAACCTTCCAGCCAGTGCTTCAATGCTCCTCCTTCCCTGTCAGACCTTTCGGTAGTTCTTTCTTCAAAGGTCCAACCCTTGCTTCCTCTCTCCTTCCTCACTCCCTCCTCACTCCTTCCCTCCTCACTCCTTCCCTCCTCACTCCTTCCCTCCTCACTCCTTCCCTCCTCACTCCTTCCTTTCTCTCCCCTTCTTCCCTCGTGCGCAGAGTGCTAACTGGAACAACAGTCACATGCCCGCCTGACAGCACCCCATGTGTGGTTCGGCAGTCTCCTCGTAGTGCCTTTTGCAGCGCGTGCCCCTCCTTCTGCACTACTTGTGTCAAGCCAGCACCATGTGAGTAAAATAGGGAACAAACCAACAGTAGAAAATATAAGGTGGTTATTTTGACATGGCTGGTCTACAATACACCGATTACGCCGGCTCATTTTTTAGGTAATATTTATTCGCGCCAGAAAATTATACAACACATTCCACATCTTACTTTGTGTGTACTTCCCATACAGTTCAAGCAACGTTGCTGTATATATCGATAGGTTGGAAATTTTTGTATTTGTGCTCTACAGATGTATGTATGTGCATACGTATATATGCATTTGCATGTGTATGTGTGTGCGCCCGTGTATATAATACATGAATATCCATCTTAGAACATCCAGTCACAGCGCTTTCAATCTCCACCTTCCATCTCATGTCTGCCTCCCCACCCCCCTCCTTCCCCCCCCTCCCTTTCCCACCTCCAGCGCCCCCCACAACGGTCCCTTCCTCCTCCTCTTTGCCACCCCCACAATCACAAGCAATGCCTCCTTCCCAGTCTGGAGGCGGTCTCTCTGTGGGAGCCATTGCCGGTATTGCTGTGGCTGCTGTGATTCTGCTGGTGATTGGCGTGCTGCTGTGCTGGAGACATCTCAAGAGCCGTGCAGCACGTGTTGCAGGCAGACATGCGTCTCGAGGCAAGTATCGACCTTTCAGATCAACGAGGCGAGGCGAATCGAGTTTTGCTCCGTGACTTTGTAAACTCGCTCTTTGCCCGCTCGGCGAACAAGTGCTTTTCCAGCTCGTTTTTTTCTCTCGACAAGACACCAAAAGAGGGGTGAGAGAGGGGGGGGGGGGGGGGGGGAGTGCGGGGGATGGTGGGGGGAGATTACATTTGTAGAATTTGTACAGGTTAATCATGTTCACACCTCACCCCTTCCATCCCCCACCACGCTTTCACCCCTCACCCCTTTCATGTAAAACTCTTACAGGGTGGGCCCGCAGCATGTCCGGCACTCAATGCACGGAGTACTCTCTTGAAGAGGTCCTCAAAGCCACCAACAACTGGTCCTCTGACAACCAGCTTGCCTCGGGTACCTTTGGTGACGTGTACAAGGGCGTGTGTCCCCACGATGGCACAACCCTGTGGGCCGTCAAGCGAGCCAAACTGATTGATTTGGATTATCAGCGAGAGGTGGGACTGACTGTTCTCTGGTGGTCGCTTTTGTTTTTTTTTTTTTAGCTGGGGTGAGATGGTTTTAAGGGCCAGGTGTTCATTATCCGGGAGTATGCTTGTTTAATTGCATGTCATTGACCCACTTTTGACGCATGGCATATCTTTTGAGACATCTCAAAAGTCATTCCGCCATGGCATGGATTCTGAATCTGGTGTCATGGGAAAACCATGTCATTGACTGATGCTTCGCTCAATCCCATCATGTCATGCTCTTATTGCAGGTCCAACAAATGGGCGATAAAAACCATCCCAACATTGTGCGGCTGCTTGGGTTTGCTGTTGGAGGGAACATGAGGACACGGCCAGAACAGATCCTGATCTACGAGTTTGTTCCCAACGGTGACCTTAACCAGTATATCAGGAACGGTAAGCACCATGTACTCTCCTTGGCCAAGCTTTACTTTCCTTATAACTATGTATTAATGGAAAGACATTTCTCCGAACGTTTACATTTTTTTATATATATCTCTTGTTTTTCACTTGACATTTGACGAGTAATGAAATTTCTTTCTCATTTAGCTCGTCTGGGGTGAGTTTCGTAACATAGAGTTGTTGCGTTGATAAAATAATGATAAAATTTGTTGCGTTTTTCAAAACACTCACAATATCCTAGAAAAATCACTTCGCAGTATATCATCATTAGTCCTAGGAGGCGAGATCTCTTGTCGATCAGTGCTCAACTTGACACAAAGCAAAATCAAGTCGTTTAACGAGACTTAAGTTTTCTTGTGTAAACCGTGATTGGCTTGTATATGAAGGAGGGTAAGCACCACCACATATTCATTAAGAATCATTTGTAATATTTTCTTCTCAATCAAATCATGGAAGGCGTGATGCTGCATGTGTTGTGTCTTATTGTGTCACCCAACTTTTGTCATCTATGATGTGCAATTCAGATCTTGCCACTCTCGTGTCCTTCCTTTCTTACTGTGTGCACTTGTGTAGAAGCATTATGTTCTCTCTCCTTTCAGCAGCGGCTAGACATCCTCATTGGTGTGGCACGTGGCTTGGGTTACCTCCACAGCTTTGGTCTTGTGCATCGCGACATCAAACCCGCCAACATCCTTCTTGGAGCAAAGATGCAGGCAAGCAAGCGAGCACATAAATATGCATAGACAATAAAGTCGACACAGTGGTACTAACTAGATATGAGCACGAACCGAACTCAAACATGTTTGATCAAACCTTTTCGAACTTTGCATGTTGGTCGAACCGAACCGAACATGTTTGCTCGAACTTTTTAAAGATTTTTTAGGTTTGAGGTTTGAGTATTTAATGGCGAACCATAAAGATTTGAGCAAACCTTGGAAGGTTTGTGCGAACTCGAACCTAGTTAGGTTTGAGGTTAATAATCATGCACAAGGGTTTCTAAAACGCATGCACAGCAAACCCACGGTTGTGACGAACCTAACAAAATTCGTTGACATTTGTACCATCTCGCTGTGGTGAAAGAATGTTGTAGATGAAGAAGGGTTGTGCTAGAGCCTAGACTAGATCTAGATCTAGATGTGAGCTTCTAAAAAATACGAGACTAGGGTTGGCTGCCTCGAAATGGCAGCCAATCTTTCGACTTTCCCGATTTTGACGGGGAAGTCGAGGGGGGGGTTCTGTTTGGCGGGAAATTAAATTCGAACCTCCCGCGGTTCGAATTTAACACATTCGAACCTCGAACCTGTTCGGTTCGAAGGTGAATTCTCGAACTGAAAAAGTTCGCGCGAACATCTATGAGGTTTGTTCGAACTTTTTTGCCCAAAAAAAAAGTTCGGTTCGAGGTAGCTCGAACCGAACAACTCGAACCGAACCGAAGTTCGGTTCGTTGCTCATATCTAGTACTAAGTAAAAAAAAAAAAAAAAAAAAAAAAAAACTTCTATATGAAATATACACTAGATGAATAAGGTGTTTTGAACATGATTTGCGTTTGAGTTCAGCAATAGTTTGACTTGTCGTGATGTAGGCCGATCTGAGCCGAGTACAGCCGTCGGGTCGACCTGACCTCGAATCATGTCCCACGAGTTTGAAACCCCTCCACACTTTTATGACCAAGCTGGATGTGACTCAACCCCAAGTCGAGTTGTTAGTTCGACTTACCCATGACTTATCATTGTAATGATAATCATAATCCAAAGTCATCCCCCTCGCAACACAATCGCTTCAGCGCACGCGCCACCCCAGCGCCTAAATGCCTCGCTCTAGTGTATAATGCGCTATCCATGTCTTCATGCTCTTGGATGCATGCACATGGTTGACGTTCAACCGTTCTCACGGATCGGTGACAAGTATTTTGGATTAGGGTCCAGGACGCTAGCGTTTAGATGCTAGACGCTCGAGTGAGCCTCCGTTGGACTCTTCTTGGATGCTTGTCTGGGCAGGGAAAGATAATCGTTGGCTCTCCTTCGCTCAGGTGCAAGCAGATAGCTTCCTCTTCATCATCAAAGTCGCAGCAACAAAGGTCGGGGCGTACAACTCCTTCAACACGGTCCACGTCTTAGGACAGCGATCAACCTCCGGTGGCAAGTGCATGACGTGGTGACGTTGGTTCAGCTCCAAACTCTGCAACATCATATAGTAGCCAGCCGATGCGCGTTTATCACATGATTGTTACAGCGTCTGATCACTAAGTCTAGTCTCTTCCGCAATCATTAGTTTTAGGAAACTATCTGACAGAAATAATGCTGCATTTTCCTGGTCTAATCATCACAACTCTCACAATTGAACTTGAAGTCCTTCAACACCCTTCTTAATCAGCGAACCCTGTTTTATTGGCGCTCCCTTTGGCGTCGAAACACCAGAATCATGGTTGTTCGCTGCGAACTTTGCTGAACTCTCACTAGCTCCGCGATTCCTTTCCCGTCGTCGCTACCTATAGCGAGGATAACTATAAGCGTGTCTTTGATACCAGCTTGTTGGTGAAGGATAAACTAACTCAGGATATTAAGAATTCATTCATACTAATAGTCTCGCCTCAGTGTCACCTCCATGGGTCCCCGTGTGCGTGCGAGGTACAAGATGAGTCCGGGTTTGTGAGAGAGATCAAGGGTTTCTGTTGTCGGACCATCCAACCACCATGATCACACACCACCAACCCTCCGTACAGTCACACTCACTACATCATTATAGTGGGCCCTTATAGTCACACTCACTAATTCTCCATATTTCTTAATGACCCCTTTCCACAGATCACACCAACGTGCCCTCGGACTCGTTTTTCTAAATTGCATAATTAATCATTAAATTGCTCCCTCAATAGAAATCAACTCAAATGTGATTGTATGATGCCTTTGTCCTTTCCTGCCCTCACAGGCCAAGATCGCTGACTTTGGGTTGTTGAGGGTGGGCGATGGCACCGCTGTCGGCACGACTCGGGTGATGGGAACACCGGGCTATGTGGATCCCATCTACTCACACACGTCCAAGGCCACCACTGCCACCGATGTGTACAGGTGAAAGGCCACCACTGCCACCGATGTGTACAGGTGAAAGGCCACCACTGCCACTGATGTGTACCGGTGAAAGGGCACCACTGCCACCGATGTGTACAGGCGAGCTCCTTTTAAGACTCTGAGGCAACCATTGCTACCAATGTCTAAGGTGAGTGAGTGATTGTTGTCGTCAGGTAGTTGTGTGTCTGAGTAGGTCGGAGCTCGCTCTGATATTTATCATAGTGTTATCTTATCATTTTGCCCTGTTTATAGCAAGTTACACTTTGGGGTTCTGTTTATGCTCATTTCATATGTTTTTAGCCTCAACTGAACAATTCCTGAGTTCGGTTGGGGTTTCCCAACTTCCTTTCTCAAATGTATCTCGACAATTTCTCAATGCAACTTTTCCTCCCGCCATCGATGACTCCATAGCTTCCAAGGTCTTCTTCACATTTTGGACTGTACTTCTTGTGGTGTACATTTGTAACCACACAACACTGCCCTTAATAGTGATTCATTCCTTTAGCCCCCGCCACCGTCCCCCACTTTGTCCTGCCCTCCCTCCCCTATGTGTGCAGTTTCGGTGTGCTCATGCTTGTTGTGCTCACGGGTCGCAGCCCCCACACGACCGAGGGTGAAAAGGATGGCCACATTTTGCAATGGGTAGGTGCTTGTGCTTCTGCTGCTGCTGTGCGCTGTGGAACATGCGATTGGTTCCCCCAGCCTCCACTTTGCCGAGGGTGAAACAAACTACCACACTCTGCGATGGGAGGGTGCTGCTGCTGCTGCTGCTGTGTTGCTAAACTGTGAGATGTCACTGTGGAACATGCGATGGTTCAATTCAAAGCGTTGTTTTGGTGGTTGTTGGAAGAGCGGCCACTTTCTGCAACGGGTAAGAGCTGCTTTTGTGCCTTTGTCTCGCGCAGACCGTGCCATTCCATGTCCCCATTCCCACTCACCTTGCTCAACCCATCAGGCAGAGCAGTGCGTCTCTGCCAACAACCCTGGCGGCCCGAGGGACCTGAGCAGTGACCTCAAGCTCCCCCCCTTCCCACTTGCCATCCCAGGAATGCATTGCACGTGTGCCTCCTCTGGTTGCCAATCCATCAGGCAGAGCAGTGCATCTCTGCCAACGAACCTGCCTGTCTCATCTGAGCATGGACGCCCCGGATGATGCTGTGCTGCGCTGTGCTGTGCTGTGCGGTGCTGTGCTGTGCTGTGCTGTGCTGTGCTGTGCTGTGCTGTGCTGTGTGGTGCTGTGCTGTGCTGTGCTGTGCTGTGCTCTGCTCTGCTCTGCTCTGCTCTGCTCTGCTCTGCTCTGCTCTGCTCTGCTCTGCTCTGCTCTGCTCTGCTCTGCTCTGCTCTGCTCTGCTCTGCTGTGCTGTGCTGTGCTGTGCTCTGCTCTGCTGTGCTGTGCTGTGCTGTGCTGTGCTGTGCTGTGCTGTGCTGTGCTGTGCTGTGCTGTGCTGTGCTGTGCTGTGCTGTGCTGTGCTCTGCTCTGCTCTGCTCTGCTCTGCTCTGCTCTGCTCTGCTGTGCTCTGCTGTGCTCTGCTGTGCTGTGCTGTGCTGTGCTCTGCTCTGCTCTGCTCTGCTCTGCTCTGCTCTGCTCTGCTCTGCTCTGCTCTGCTCTGCTCTGCTCTGCTCTGCTCTGCTCTGCTCTGCTCTGCTCTGCTCTGCTCTGCTCTGCTCTGCTCTGCTCTGCTCTGCTCTGCTCTGCTCTGCTCTGCTCTGCTCTGCTCTGCTCTGCTCTGCTCTGCTCTGCTCTGCTCTGCTGCGCTGCGCTGCGCTGCGCTGCGCTGCGCTGCGCTGCGCTGCGCTGCGCTGTGCTGTGCTGTGCTGTGCTGTGCTGTGTGGTGCTGTGCTGTGCTGTGCTCTGCTGTGCTGTGTGGTGCTGTGCTGTGCTGTGCTGTGCTGTGCTGTGCTGTGCTGTGCTATGCTGTGCTGTGCTGTGCGGTGCTGTGCTGTGCTGTGCTGTGCTGCGCCCTCCCTGTCCCTGCCCCATCCCCGCCTGCTGTGTTCAATCCCGCAGGCAGAGAATTGCATTTCCTCTAAGAAAACGACCCCCGTGAAGGACCTGACTCATCTGAGCATGGACGCCCCGGATGATGCTGTGCTGCGCCTGGCCCAGCTGGCTCTGCGCTGCACTGTGCAGCGCACTGCAAGCCGGCCCAGCATGGCAGACATTGCCAACGAGCTGCAGGGAATCAGGCACGAGGTGGTGGGGAAGGAGGAGCTCAGTGCAGCGATCAAGGTGGATGCGCAAGCAGAGGAGATGCGGATTGGGATGTCGCTGAGGAAAAGCTTGGGTGCAGAGCTGGAAGCCATTGTGAGCATGGAGGAGGAGGAAGAGTCTAACGGGGAGCAAGCAGGCACGTCTATCCAGTGAAGTCTGGGCTTGGCGGTACAGCTGGGATCTACTAGGAGCATGGATGAAGGGCCTTTTTTCAGGTTGTTGATTACTGGGAGCTACTAGGAGCATGGATGAAGGGTCTTTTTTCAGGTTGTTGATTACTGGGAGCTACTAGGAGCATGGATGAAGGGTCTTTTTTCAGGTTGTTGATTACTGGGATCTACTAGGAGCATGAAAAGAAGTCAAAACGGGGAGCAGTCGGGTTGATGAATACTGATCTTGGCTCACTGATAGAGCAATGGGGGAGCAGTGGTGTAAAAGGGAGCAGTGGGGAACAGTGGGGAGCAGTGAATAGTGGGGAGCAATGGGGAACAGTGGGGAACAGTGGGGAACAGTGGGGAACAGTGGGGAACAGTGGGGAACAGTGGGGAACAGTGGGGAGCAATGGCGAGCAGTGGGGAGGAGCAGTCAAGTAACTGAGTACTGATCTTTAATTGAGTACTGATCTTTAATTGAGTACTGATCTTTAACTGAGTACTGATCTTTAATTGAGTACTGATCTTTAATTGAGTACTGATCTTTAATTGAGTACTGATCTTTAATTCAGTACTGATCTTTACTTGAGTACTGATCTTTAATTGAGTACTGATCTTTAATTGAGTACTGATCTTTAACTGAGTACTGATCTTTAATTCAGTACTGATCTTTAATTGAGTACTGATTTTTAATTGAGTACTGATCTTTAATTCAGTACTGATCTTTACTTGAGTACTGATCTTTAATTGAGTACTGATCTTTGATTGAGTACTGATCTTTAATTGAGTATTTATCTTTAATTAAGTATGTAGTTTTTTGAAAGTGTAGCAAAAAATGCTTGTTGTAATGTAGGTTTATATACGTCGGACGAGAATGTTGTAATACCCATTTGAAACGAAGCACGTTGCCATTGCAAACACAAGAAAGCAAGCTTTCTAAATACTGATCTTTTATTAAAATACTGATCTTGGCTCACTGATAGAGCAATTGGGGAGAAGTGGTGCCTCGAGGAGCAGTGGGGAGCAGTGGGGACAGGCCTTCAGATTGGTTTTGGCCGACCTTGGGTAATCAGTGTACGAGGTTTAGTCAACCCTGATGGCTAGTGTAAATTTTTTTTTCCCCTGACTTCTGCAGCGTAAAATTTTCGTTTGACTGAATCCGTCAGTCTAAAAATGTCTCTACTCTGATTTTAGCAGTGAAAATTCTTGTTAAGATCAAGGTAGCCTAGGTTTAGGAGAAACCTAGGCTAGGGTAGAGAGTGGCGAGGGTATCGAGAGGAAAATAGGAGTTCACTATAGAATTGTGGGTACAAGTAGGAAAGAGGAGGTGGTACACCACCAAGAGAGAACAAGATATTACACTACAGGTGGAACTACATGCAGTTATAATAATATAATTTTGATATCCCCCCTTAACTGCATGCAGGATTAGCCGGGTGCAAATCACAACCTGCAAGTGTACTCAAAGCAGTAGCACGCAAGAGCAATGACAACCAATGCAATGGTGGCAGAGACAGCTGCAGCAAGCCCTGAGGCAAGAAAGAGAGAACGAAGACGAAGTGCTGGAGCGCGCTTAGTTTGCAGCTCAACAGCAAAGAAGACGAACGTGGCGTCAGGGGCTGCAGCAGTAGGTGCCACGGTAGCAGTGGGCGGCATCTGCAGATGCGTGGCTACTGGTTCCACCACTCTCTCTTACCCTCCCTTACCCTCTCTCATCCCCCCCCACCCCCTACAGCAACAAGTGCTGCAGGGAGAGAGGAAGAGGGAAGGGAGGAAGGAGTTGCTAGCTGGTCACCCCCGCCACCCCCAAATCTCCCCCCTTCCCCCCCCCCCCCCCCACGGCAGGAGCCGCGGAAGGGAAGGGAGGGGGGCGGCGCACGGAGCTGCCGGCGCTGGCGTCCGCGCCAGCGTAGGCGCTGGCGCTTCGCAGCTGGCACAGACGCTGGCGCACGCGCTGGCGGCGGCTGCTGGCGCCGCCGCAGGCAGCAGTCGCCAGCGCAGGGCGACGAAACGGGGGCGCGGGGCGACGAAATGGGGGGCCGCGGGGCGACGAATCAGACGGAAGGGCGCCACGGGCGCGATGGGCAGGAAAACCGCCGCGCACCTCGAAAAACGTCTCGCGCCCGGGGCGCGCGGCAGGCAGAAAAATAGTCACGTGCCCGGGGCGTGTGACTGAGACAACAGCAGCGGAAGTGATTGGTGGGCCCATTGAGAAAGGTCCTAAGAACGGAACCACTCTGATAGCATATCAAGACAGCTAGCATAGGCTTAGATCTTAGTAGCCATAGCTAGGATAGGAAGTAGGGTAGTGGTGAGAGGTTTGGCCAAAGAAGGGTTGCACTATGAGAGAGATACAAGATATAGTGGTAGGGATGGTGGCCAAAAGGGGTATACCACCAACAATAGAATTCTAAATGATACTACACTAGCTAAGTTACATGCAGTTACATTATAATATAAATATATTTTAACATCCCCCCTTAACTGCATGCAGCGTAAGCTAGTATAGGGGCGAGACGTAACCCAGGTGCAGACTTCACCGGGCCGCAGCTGGGCCCACCGATACAACACACGATGGAATGCCTGCCTGCGGTTTAACCCCCGCAGTGGATGCCCGGTGTGCGAGACAAGGGGCGTACACATCCGGTGCTGGCGTCTGGCGCTGGCGCTGGCGCAGGCGGCGGCGTCTGGCGCTGGCGCTGGCGCAGGCGGCGGCGTCTGGCGCTGGCGGCGGCGTCTGGCGCTGGCGCTACCCGCGGGCCGCTGGCGTCCGCGCTGGCGCACGTCGCGGACGTCCGCACTGGCGCCTGGCGAGGCGATGGGCGGGCTGCGCGACGAACGGGCAGGGCGGGCGGATTGCAGGGCGACGACGAAAACGATAAGGAATAGCGCATTTCGCGCTGCAGCGTGGGCGGGCCCATAGTTCTTAAAAAAAATAGGTCCTTAGGACCAATTACTGCTCTGTACCATGTTAAGATCAAGGTAGCCTAGGTTTAGGAGAAACCTAGGCTAGGGTAGAGAGTGGCGAGGGTATCGAGAGGAAAAGAGGAGTTCACTATAGAATTGTGGGTACAAGTAGGAAAGAGGAGGTGGTACACCACCAAGAGAGAACAAGATATTACACTACAGCTAGAACTACATGCAGTTATAATAATATAATTTTGACATTTCTACATACTATGATTTCAACCAACATCACTAGCAGGGCAAATTTTTGGATTTGACCAACCCTTGTGATCAGTGTAGCACAAGCCCAAAAACCTGATTATCAGTGTGGCCCCTTTAAAAAAAACTTTTCCATCAGGGTTTTCCTTGGTTTTGTAAAATCTACCCTGTCGTATCAGTGTTCATAAATGACAAACCCTGGTCAATAGTTTTTATCGTTGCACTCAATACAAATTTTAGTCATCATCATCAGACATGCCACATGGGTGTCCATCGTGGTCACTTTCTTCTTCTGGCTCTAGTGCTATCTGTTTCCCCTTCCGGTCCACAGATGTCGCATGTGCAACTGATTTCGCCGACTTTCTGCTGCACTCGTGGTGTGTTGTCATGTCAGACAAACAGACCGAGTTGCGTCGGTGGCGCTGCCTACAAAGAAACTGTAAGTCTGGCCAATGGTGGCCCATTGTATGCCAGCACACGGGTTGTGAGGGATGAAATTCCGGGTTCGACAGTTGGCAATCGGGAATCCCGGGTTACGGGAAAAGGGGGGTGGGGGAACGGGGGGGCGGGGAGGGTAGGGTACTCGTTTCAGGGTAAAACTCGTTATGGAAATCGGGAACCCTGGTCATCAGTGTGCCTTAAATGTAACCCTGACATATCAGGGAAATCCTAGCTCCTAAAAAAATTACCCTGGGCCATCAGTGTGACTATGAAAAACCACCCTGATTATCAGGGTATCAGGGTGATTTACACTGATAAAATTTGCCCTGATCACTAGTACAATCAATCTGCGTTTCGCGTAAGCTACACATGGCCTAATATCAGGCTACCAGACCTACCAGCACCATTCCCTACTCAGTCTCCAGTAATAGGGGCAGATCCCTCAATGTCGCCATCGGCAAAATGAGCCTCTCCTGGGTTGGTGCCATGGAAGTCCTTTGTCGACCGCCGCAACTTCTCTCCCCTGAATATAGACACCACCTCGTACCAGTCCACCTCGTACTGGAGCAGTGAGCATCTCATCAAATGCTCAAGGGTCGTATCAGAGAGGCAGCCACGCTCCCATGTCTTGATCAGATTCTGCTTGCTGAATCCCCCCTCGCACTCGATCGTGCTCAGTGGGAGCACGGCAACTGCCTGCCACATCCGCATCAGGTTGGGGAACGAGTCCTGCCATGCATCGTCACGAAGCATGTTCCCAAGTGCCTGGTGAAAGTCCTCGTCCTTGTGCTGTGAAAACATGGTAGACGTGAACATCCACAGCTCGCTCTGTGCTCGGGTGTAGTCAAAACCTGATGAACGGGAATGGGATTTAAGGAGGGTATACTTGCAGCAGGCGGGAGGGAGGGGGATTTTTAAACCAAACAATCAACAAGACGTAGGCATGAGAACACGAAGAAACGAGACATCAAAGCGTATGCGGACAATACTCAACACACATCTTCTCACACAAACCCAACGCATACATACCCGGCAGCTTGTTGTTGAACAACTTGTGCAGTAGAGCCAGCCACTTTTTGAAGCTCTCCACACGCTTTGTATCGTCTGTGACGTATGATGCTGAGCGAAACAGCTTCGACCCCTCCAGGTTCTCTAGGTCCCTCATGCGCCACTCCAGATCCTTATCGATTTCACGGACGAACTTCAACGAAAGCTCGTAACACGCCGTGACGTCGCCGGCTGTCTCGTGCCCTTTGATTTGCCTCTCGTTCAGCTTATACTTGAAGGTCACCAGGTTGCCTTCACTGTCCACGCCCTCAGCCTTCACCTCCCGCTTGTCCATCTTCTGGTGGCGCTGAATGAAGTCGCTGAGGGTCATCTTCTCTCCGCTGCCGA